AATATAAAATATTAAAACTGATCCACAAAAAGAACTCAATGTATTTATTATAACAGAGCATATAAATTACATAGAATAGAAATTCAAATTTACCTGATCAGAATAGCTATTTCGACCAACATGTTGGCCTTTTAAACTCAGAAATGTGAATTTAGAATCAGAAATTTAAAATTTCGACATTTAAAAAAAAAAAAAAAAAAAAAAAATAAAAAAGAAAAAGGAAAGAAAAAAATAAAAAACACAAGTGAAGAAACGGGAGCCAGCTATTGAGACTGTAGACATTACATTAACCAAACCCAACTGCAATTGGAAGGGGGGATGCAGAAGTGTCTGGCTCAAATAGAAACAGTTAATATAACCTTGACGTATATTTTAAATTTTAACATTCCAAAAATTAAAGATATGGAGTTCCAAAAAATTTGAGGAATTAAAACAGAAAATAAAAAAATATTAGTTATAAACTAAAGAACAAAAAAAAATATATATATATATATATATATATATATATATATATATATATATATATATATATAATATATAGAGAGAATTTCTATCTTAAAATCTTCTATCATAACTCCCTAAAATTTAAGGTCAAAAATAGAAATTAAAGTTCATTGAATCCCCAAAAATATTTGTCTTTCAAGTTAGGGAAAAAAAAAAAAAAAAAAAAAAAAAAACATAAGAAATCTTTATGTACAGATTATGTAATACTAATCTGTCCAGAAAACAGTACCAGCAGGCTAAGTTCAAATCCCAGCCAAAGCAGATGCATTCACTTTTGCACCAATACCCTTTTCTAAATGGTATTAATCCATCACTTCTTCCCCACTTACAGCTATAGGAAAAAATAACACAGACTGAGCACTCTAGCCTTGGTTGGCAATCAGTCTAAGAGAAAAACAATTGATTTCAGTAGAAGGCAATGGGAAAACACTCCATGATCTTTCCAAATAATATGGTAATACAGTTTACAGTCATTAAAGGAAGTTGTGAAGAGCCATAATTACAGATATTTTTAAGGGACAGTTTAAAAAAAAAAAAATTTTGATCAAATTTTATAATTTACTAGTAGTACTCATGAAAATTTCACAGTTTTCCAGTTTGAATTTTGTTTACTTTCTTTTTCTCACAATCAAAACTGGACAGCCCATTATTTTCGGGGTGGGAAGGGGTTGATTGGGCTGACTTTTCAGTCTTTCCACACAATTAAAATAGAACAGCCTATTATTTTTCCGGGGATGGGGAGGTTAATTGGTCTTTCTTTCTTTAACCAAGTAGCATCTCTGATATGTCTTTTCCATCTTTCCACACAATCAAAATGGAATAGTCCATTATTTATGAGGTATTGGCAGGGTGTAATGGTTGTGCAAACTAAGAAAGGGCAGGACAAACAAAATTATAATAATATACTCTAAGTAAGTAAGAGTTTAAAACAAATTCTTTCGACAGTTTTGTTACGATTCAATTCAACCAGTGTATCCATTTTTGTAAGAAAATATATTTTTGTTATGTGTTTTTATGTGTTCCTTCCAAAAATTGATTTTTTTAAAATTTTGCAGTGTGTGTGTGTGTGTGTGGGGGGTTCTATTTATGCAAGTATAATGCTAAATCGAACCATGACTTTGTGTCCATTTTTATTCAAGAAATCTTTTTCATTAGTCCTTAATCTACACAAATATTAAAATACCCCAAAACGACAAAAAGAATAAAGTTGCTTTTATTTTTTTTTTCTCTGTAACAAGAAAGTAAATTATGAAAACCCACTTAAAGATGAACACAAAATCGGGGTTCACTTTTGAACTATTCATATATTGTAAATCGAACCCTCATTTTAAAAGCACTTTAAAACTTAAAAAAAAAAATGTATTTTTATAAGTTTTCAATAAATGACTGATTTCTAAAAAAAAAAAAAAAAAAAAAAAAAATTATTTTTTAAACTTTTAAGTGTTTTATTTGCAAAATAAGCATAATACTAAACTGAACCCTTACTTTGTGTCCAGAAAAGTAAAAATCCAACTGAAAATTCCAGAACATGAAGATTTTAGAAAGGGGGGTTCAATTTACAATGTAAGTATAATGCCAAACTGAACCCTTACTTTCTGTCCATTTCATTCAAGAGTTTTTTGGGTTTTTTTCCATGCAGCCATAACATTGATAATTTTAAAATACTGAAACCCAAAAAGAAAAAAAAATAGTTACATTTACTTTTTCTTTGTAAGAAAGAATTTTTTTTTTTATTAAAACATGTCTCTTTTTAGGCATCCATATTTTAAAATTACACGCACAAAGCAAGGGTTCAGTTTTGCATTAGACATATACAGGTTGTCGTTGACTTACCCACAACCATAAATTGGTACGTCTGGCCAAATTTGTTCCATGTTTCCCAGTACAATTTTCGCCCCAGCTCCAAGCAACATTGACATTCCCTTGGTCAGTGGCAGGACAGCCTCGGCATGACACTTTCCCTTAAAGGTTTGTGTCTTTGAAAGCCAAAGTACTAGCGGCTAATAAGAGGTTTTTGTATTTTGGTAGGTTTTGCAACTAAAATGCTTTCTGTTTTTTGCACCTCTTTTTGAGGTTTTTGTATGTTCAGCAAATATTAAACCGACTGTACCGTAGTATGCAGTGTTTGACTTAAAGTCAACAAGCGTAAAAATGAGAAACAAAACAATAAAAAAAGACATAAGAATTATGAAAAATAGAGTAATAGCTAAAGCAAGATAAAAAGATTGCAAGACAAATTACAGGCTGATTTATGACCATAAGCAATCCTGGTGATAAGTTGACGACAACCAGTTTTGTAAATTGGACCCAATTTAAAAAAAAACACCTTTAAACTTTTGTAAGAAAATATTGATTTCCTGCAAAAAAATTTTTTTTTTTTTTTTAATTTTTTGGAGGGGGGTTCTGTTTATAAAGTAAATATAATGCTAAACTGGACTCTCATTTTGTGTCCGTTTTTATTCAAGTGACAGATCTTTCTCATTAGTCCATAACCTAGCTTTGCCAAGTTGCTAGAAGGCACTGTCAAGCATCTATTTAAAAAAAAAAAAAAAAATGTGACACTTCCTGTCTTTCTCAACGTCTTTTTTTTCTCCTAACATGTGGTAGAATTTAGGATCATCTTTCTTTTGCATACATCTTTCTACAAAAAAAAAAAAAAAAAAAAAAATCAAAATTCATTCCATTGCCTTACACATGTCATTTCCATGTGCAAAATATTGTTGCCACTGCTTTTAGTCTAATGCAGTTGCTGCAGCTTTTGGTTTTCAACATACACCTACCCCAACACATCCATAATTTTCAAGCAAAAAGCAAAAAAATCAGGAATGTTGGAATTTACTCTTTTTTTTTTTTTTACCTGTGACAAGAAAGTGCATTTGTGGCATTATGAAAACTTAAAGTTAGGGATTGGAGATTTTAATATTTTAATATATATTATATATATATATATATATATATATATATATATATATATATATATATATATATATATAAATGAACATTGAAGTCCATACTTGGCCTGATGATTGTGTCTAGCATGAAAAGAGCTTTTCGCCTCTAAGTGTTGACTTCAATGTTCACTTTTATATTTACATACGCTCTATCTCTGATATTGAGCATGTTATTGCATAAATATAGCACACCTTAAAACTATATGAGAGAATGATACACGCACACACATATACATGCACACATAGATATATACTGTAGATAAGAGAATTTATATATATATATATATATATATATATATATATATATATATATATAGAGAGAGAGAGAGAGAGAGAGAATGATAAATATAGATAGAAAAGAATTTGTGTGTGTATATATATATATATATATATATAGAGAGAGAGAGAGAATGATAAATATAGATAGAAAGAGAATTGTGTGTGTGTGTATATATATATATATATATATATAGATAGGAAGAGAATGGGGGTGTGTGTGTGTGTGTGTGTATATATATATATATAAAGAGAGAGAATGATAAATATAGATTGAAAGAGAATGGGGGTGTGTGTGTGTATATATATATATATACACACACACATACATATATAAAGAGTGAATGATTCATACGTGTCTATATATATATATATATATATATATATATATATATGTGTGTGAGAGAGATAGCTATAAATAGAGAGAATATAACTTTCTTTTTAGGCTTCCATATTTTAAAATTAAATGCCAATAAACTTCTTCATAAGGACAAACACAAAATCAGGTTTCAGTTGTACATTACATGCAACTTGTAAATCACGCACTTTAAGAAAATATATTTAATGTTTTGAATTAATATGATCTTCATTTCTTTCTAAATTTAATTTTCAAGTCTTATCCTGATGTAACCATAAGTCTAAAACTGGCCCTTTGTATGGGTTTGTTGTCAGGCAAGAGATGGCTCCATTTTGTCAGCCATTGTTTTAAAATATGGAAGCCTGAAAGAATGGAAAAAAAAAAAAAACACCAAAAAACAGTCGCATTTTCTTTTACTCTTTACGCTGATGCCCTAATGTCAAGTTATTAATTCAACAAAATAAACATTTTTTCTTCTTTTTAAACTTTGCTAGTTTAAAAAAAAAATGTATTTACATAAAGGCAGACATGGAAATTAGGGGCCAGTGACACAGTATGTCAATGCCGGACATAAAATCAGGGTCCAGTTTAACATTAAACTTATATCGTAAATCGAACCCTCACTTCATAACCACTCATCTTCCATTTTTAAAATTACAAAGTTATATATGTACCCTTTTAGTTTGACCGAATATTGACTAACAGTTGTAATAAATACAGTGGAAAATGAGAAAAGTACCAAAAAAAATTTATGGGGCATTAATTTGTGTCTAAAAATAAACACCAACGTCTATGGAAGGTCATAAGTGAAAGGCAGTGAAACAAAATGCAACTGTAAAACCAGGTGAACTTACTGCATGGCAACATTGAACACATGTCAAGTAAGCTAATTTTTTTTTTAAGTCCATGTGTCAATACACAGTCAGTTGGGAATATGTGGGGTTGCGAAAATTAGTGTCCAGACGGCCAACATCTTCCATGTTTACGAGGAGGTCATCTTGATCAGCATCATAACGAGTCATTCCTAAAACGCCTCTGCAACGAGAAAAAAAAAAAAAAAACACGAAATAAGATAGCACAGAATGAATTTGTAACACTTTGTTGTGTATATGCAATGAAACACTTCACTTTTGCACCATCAGTCCAAAACAGAAAACAAAAAAACTTTAATCCTGAAAAAGTTTTAAACCCTATCCCAGAATAGAAACGTTTTTTTTTTTTGTTGTTTGTTGAATAAGAAAATTAGAATGTTTCAGAAAGCAGGAAAATATTAATGTTTCTAAAATGAATACAAAAAATGAACATAAAATACAAATTAGATGTTGCTATAATTTTTATAAAAAAAATTATAAGGGGAAAGAGGAGGAAAAAGAAGAGAAAAAAGAGGAAAGAGAAAAAAAGAAAAAGGAAAGGAGAAAGAAAATGGAAGGAAAGAGAAAGGGAAACAGGAGACAGAAAAGAGAAGGAAAGAAAAACGAAAGAGAAGAAAAAAAAAAAAAAAAAAGGAAAGAGAGAAGAAGAGGAAAAAAAAGGAAAGAGAGAAGAGAAAAAAGAGGAAAGAGAGAAGAAGAGAAAAAAGAAAAGGAAGAGAAAAAAGAAAAGGAAGAGAAAAAGAAAGAGAAGAAGAGAAAAAAGAGGAATGAGAAAAGAGAAAAAAGAGGAAAGAGAGAAGAAAAGAGAAAAGAAGAGAAAAAAGAAAAAAAGAAAAAAAAAAAAAGGAAAAAAAAGAAGAAAAAAGGAGAGAAAAGAAGAAAAAAAGAAAAGGGAAAAGAAAAAAAGGAAAGAAAAAAAGGAAAAGAAAAAGGAAAGAAAAAGGAAAAGGAAAGAAAAAGGAAAGAAAAGGGAAAAGGAAAGAAAAGGGAAAAGAAAAGAAAAGGAAAGAGAAAGGGAAAGAGAAAGGGAAAGGGAAAGGGAAGAGAAAGTGAAAGAGAAAAGAGAAGAGGAAGGAAAGAGGAAAGAGAAGAGGAAGGAAAGAGAAGAGGAAGGAAAGAGGAAAAGGAGAAAAGAAAAGGAGAAAAGGAGAAAAGAAAAGGAGAAAAGAAAAGGAAAAGGAAAAGTAGAAAAGAAAAGGAAAAGAAATACAAGAAAAAGACAAGAAAGAAAAATCAATTTTACAGTCTAAATTGATTATCAAAGCCAATACTCACAATAATGATCTTCGTTTGTATCGCATGTAAATGACAAAACCAATAACCAGACATGCAAAAATCACCAAGATTGGAATCACAAATGCAAGCGCCCTTTTCCCACCTGAACTTGCTTCAGCCACTGCAACAAAAACAAAAATTAATGAATGAAAGAATCATTAAACTTTCACCATCATGAGACACAAACAGATAACAGATTTTATTAATTTCAACATTTATTTCCATCATCATGAATGTGGCAGTAAAGATGAAGACGTAGGTGATCATGGCTCTCCACAGATTCTCTTTCTTTATCTGGGAATCGTCATGTCTTCTTGGCAAATATAGAAGAGTGGTCCCCACCCCCGTTGCATTTTCCATGATTTTTAATTCAGTGGAGTTATTTTAGGCTAAGTTCCAACCAATGTTAGATGGCACAGTCTACCCTTCTATTTAACCCATAAATGAGGAGAGAGAAGAGATAGAGTTGTACATTTCCCAAGGGCAGAGCTAGTGCAAGGGTTTGATGCCCCCACCTCTGAACCTACGATACGAGGACACCCACTCTACTCCATCTCAATTTCATAAATGAAAGTTTGTGCGATAATCTTAAGTGGCATTTAAGACCCGCTAGTGATTTACAAAGGAGACCACATATGGAGCAAGTGTGAGGATTGTGAGACGAGATCACTGTTAGATTGGCTGACCTTTTAGATCTTGCTCTCACTTCTTGAAGATGATTCAGACAAGCAGATTGAAAATTGCCGAGTCCACTTAAACACGTTGATCTCCATTCTACCTGCTCCAAGGCTAAGCGCTCAAGGGTGTTATGTGGTATATTGACAGCTGACAAGTTGCTTTTCAGCTTGTCTTTGTATCTTAGCCATGGGCATCCTACAATCCTGTAGCCCTGATCTAACTGGCTGTACATTAGGATCTTGGGTATCCTGTCATCAGATATTCTCAAGACATGACCAGTCCACCGTAACCGAGTCTGTATGATAAAAAGTCTCAATACCTCCTATATTACATTTGTTAAACAGGTCTAAGTTAGATGTCTTATCTTGAAGGTTAACTCCACAGATTGCATGCAGACAGCTTTTATGGAAAACATCCAGCTGGCATATATGGTACCTGTATGGAGTCCACAACTCTGAGCCATACCAAAGGATGGCAAGGACAACAGCTCTGTAAACCCGAATTTTCGTATCCAGTCGAATACCCTGTTCATTCCACAAGTGATGGCAAAGTTTGCTGAAAGCACTGGTAACCTTAGCAATCCGATGCCTAATTTCATCATCTAAAGTTCCACTGTAATTGACTTTGCTACCAAGATGGGTGAAAGACTCATATAAAATAAAAATGTTTATTGTAACCTAATTATCTACAAATAATGGATCATATGCAATATAGATGAACAATTCAACTAGAAAAATTGAAAATAAATACAATGTAACTAAATACAAAATTAGAGACATGTCATAATAGTTACTTCCATCTAAAATAAATCAAAAATGTTTTGCTGCCATTTTTAACATCAACACGAGATTTTTCTTTTTTTTTCTTTAAAAATTGTATGACTTCTTTGCCATTTCTTCACTCAAATTGTGCCAAAATGTTCAAGGCCATTGCAAGGGTTGAGTGCCACTCCCTGAATCTATGATACGCCCCCTCCCACTCTCTACTATATTTTAATTCTCCTGAGGCAGTCTTCATATAAAATACAAATTTTATTGTAACCTATTTATGTACAATAATGGATCATCTTAATTATTATAAAACTCAGATTTGTGTGTGTGTGTACGTTTATATATTGGATCAGATTTCCTACATTTTTCAACCGATTTCAACAAAACTTCACAGGACTGCGTAAAATTACCTTGTGGTGGTTCTGACAGCACCAAAAATTGGAAAAACACAATTGTTTTTGCATGAAATAAAGTTGAAAACACGATTCTGTCGCCAGAATGAAAGGGGGACAACTCATATCGAGTTATACTTATTATAAAACCCAGGTTGTTTGTGTGTGTGTGTTCATTTATATATGGGATTGGATTTCCTACATTTTTCAACCGATTTCAACAAAACTTCACTTTTTTGGCAGGTAGTGTTTCTTATTGTCTTGCACACTTTTTTCTTTATTTTTCCATTCAGAATGCTTTAAAAATTCCATTTACAAGACAATGGTTTATAATAAAATTCTATTCATCAATCGATAGACTCATAACGATTGTAAACAATGTTTTTGTTTGAATTTGGGTTTGGCCAATTCGTAAAAAAAAAAAAAAAAAAAAAAAAACACTAATTAAGACATGCGTGTCCGTCAACCTTAAACAATAATCTTTGTCAATTTTATTTTTCAGTCTTTATGATGGTCGATACTTGATCTATCTTACTGTTACATCCCCGGGCAATGCCGGATTCTACTGCTAGTATGCAATATAGGTGAACAATTCAACTAGAAAAATTGAAAATAAATCCAATGTCTCTAAATACAAGGCAGTGGAGAACTTTCAGAGGGAAATTAACAGGAGATAACTGATAACTGACATCCATTAAACATGGCACGTGGAACTAGAACAGTCTACCCCAGTGAGTGAAATAAAGGGTTCAGTTCAACATTCCAACTACCTGAAGAAGGCCAGAGCGTACAACGGCTGAAACATTTTAATAAATATGGCGACAAAGACGAGGACAATAGTTCAAATAATGTAAATAGTTTACATAATACTTTATCTCAGAAATATAGACAGATACTTATAAATATGCAAGATAGATTCTTCTTTGGATTTTATGAAGAATCTCTAAATATATAGCAGAAGCACCAGACCGGATGTGGCAGTAATATTCAAAGTAGACTGAGAATTTTACTAGTAATTTTTTTTTTTTTTTACCTTTGACTGTTGGGAGGAGGTATTTGTCATTGTGGCACTTGTAAACACTGACATTTTCTGAATCAAGTTTAAGCATGGTCAATTCCTTATGAAACAAAGTCTTGTAACACATATACAAGGCATTAAGTCTAGTCTGATTTGTAGCTGCCAAAATTGTGTGAATGTTGATGTCAGCTCCGGATTTGTTAGCACTGAAATCTGAAAGAAAAAATAAATAAATAAATGAAGATCTAATTTTATAGTTTTGAATCAAAATTCTATCACATCCATAACTGAAAAGAATCTATCTAATCTTAGCATAAAGGTTGTTACTACTACATCCAAAACAATAAAAGACTTAGTCAATATTAAACAAAACAATAAGCTAAAAGTTGGAGGAATTTACTCGATCGCCCGTAATGTCACAAAAAATACATAGGAGAAACCTCAACAAATCTAAATAAAAGATTATATGAACACAAAAGAGAAATTTTAAAAAATAACACATTGAATGCATTGGTTTCCCACCATAACAAGCATGACCACAACTTTGGCATAAAAAAATAGTACGCTGATCAAAGGATAAAATAATTCACTACAATGTAAATATCTAGAGAATGTCTTAACACTTCTGCTGCTAACTACGGAGATCTTCGTTTTTCTTATCTTACTCCAGCTGGCTAAGTATGGAAACCTATGTTTTTTGCCTACCGCTGGTATGAGTGACCCGTTGCGCCATCTATCATAAGATCACAAAGGACAATGCTTCAAAAGATATCATGTGTATACTCATTACTTATCTGGTAAGTCATTCTCAGGTATATCCATGAAAATGGAAGGCTGTAAAACACACTGGTGCCAGTTTTCTGTGTAATAACATATGTAGGTTGAAATTTGGCATTTTCTTTAAAAATGGCTGGCCAGATGGGGGCAGCACTGAGCAAATGAGTAGCAGTAAAAATGTTAATAGTAAATCATCTACAGTAAATTTGCGCTCTGACTCTTACAACATTTCACAATTCCTGGCAGATCTTCTGATATCAAAGTGTGGAATACCTACTTACAAAAAGTGATGGAAAGGAAAAAAAGACTAAATGAATTCAGCTAGATAAAAAAAATATATATAAAATTCTTAGCACCTCTCTGTTGTGCACATGTGTAATCCTATCAACATAAATTTAGTCTGATGAAGTCTTGAAGGACAAGATGCATAACAAGTAAATTTTTTTCCACTTTGTCATACAATTACTGTTCTTGATATATAAAAATATAAGTTCTGTCCGGATTCTGAATAAGAAAGAACAAGTCTTCCATTTTATTGGAATTTATTCATCAATGTAGTTTCCATGATTATCTATGACTTCCTTCCATCTGCTTAGAATCTTTCAATTTCACTAATAAAAGAACTCTTTTGGTTTCGAAGAGAAGAACTCTGAAATGTCAGTTTTGACCTCCTCATGGCTTTTAAGATTTAATCCATCCAAATGATTCTATAAACTACGAAACAAATGGTTGTCTGAAAGAGCATGGTCGGGAGAATAAGGTGGATGAAAAATTCTTTCCCAAATAATTTCTTCAATCTTCTGGCATATGATTTTTTGCAGTGTCGGGTCGGGCATTGTCCTGATGAAATACTGTTCCTTTTCAATTCACTAAAAGGGGTCTTTTTTTTTCTTCAAAGCCGCGTTCAAATGTTCTAATTGTTGACAGTATACCTTGAACATTGATTGTTGAATTAGATTGGTAGCAACTGAAAGTGAATTATTCCTTTTCCACCAAATTGAGAGAAGACCCTTCTGCGCATGAAGTTCCCGTCTCGATTATGTTTGGGCCATTTCCCCATTACAAAGCCACTGTCTACGACATTTAACATTTGGATAAAGGATCCATTTTTAATCCCCAGTCACAAGTCTCTCCACAAAAGGCAAGATGAGTTCATGAGAATGAAGAGAAAAGCAGACGTCAGCTCAAGATTTGTGTTTGACTTCAGACAATTTATGAGGCATCCATATTCCAAGTTGTTGAAGATGACGATGAACAGTTGTAAGGTTTGAACGAAGCTTCATTGGCAATTCTTCAAACTGAGACTGTAGAAAAAAAAAAAAACAATGGTGATGAGGTAAGGGGGGGGGTTAAAAAATGCGGTACTCGCGACAAGCCAGCTGTTTTTTCTTCTTCTTCGATCACCTCAAGGAAATGACTCTTTCTCAGCCGTTACACTGGGCAGTTGTGAAACAGACACCAAACTCAGCCGCGCCTACTTCGACTTCCTCTTTGTTCGTCTGTCAATTCATACGTCCAGCTCTACTGCATGCAGTCCGCCGAATGACTCCCGATTCACTCGTGTTCCTGGCACCCCTCTTTTTATGCTGTTCTAATACAGCCGAAATTTGCATGTGTGCAAATATCGTCTCGTTTTGGACAAGATCGGCACGCATAAATTGCATCTTCAATAGCGGCCATATTTCTTTGCAGGCAAGACATGTTCATGCTCATTTCGAATTCTGAGGTAAGTCATATCTTTCATCACAAATACTGCAGAATTTTCTTCAATTGATGCCACAAGGAACTCATCAACCTCAACTGGACGTCCTGTTTGGTCTTCATCTTCAAGGCTGAAATTTCCACTTTGGAGTTATTTCATTCAAGCAATCTTCTCCGTAAACTGGTTGAATATTTTGAGTCTCTTCGACTGCAGAGTTTCCCCTTTTTAAACTTATAAAGCATTATGGGCCTTAAATGCTCCTTCAACACCCCCATCTTTGAGGGGCCAATTTCAGGAATTAATTCAGTCAAATTATTCTGTAAAAAGAAATTATATTAACTTAAAGGTTTCTAAATTCATATGATTATCAATCAGTATCATTTGACATTTTAGAATATGGTAAAATTTGGTTGAAATTACATATATAATATTTTAGACCAATGAACCTGATAATGATATATATATATATATATATATATATATATATATCTCATAGATTAAAATGAATTTCAAGATGCTACTTTGTTAAAAGTTCAAATAATATTGGGTTGGGTTTTCTGGATTATGAAAAAAAAAAAAAATTATTTCATGGGTGACTTGTTGGATTTCGCATTTAATTTTCATTATTCCCAAATTTATTTCCACGTCATAAAAATTGCTATCATACAAAGAAATTTGTTGCAAAAGATAACGCCAAAAACAATGACAGTAATGAAAACTTGGGAACCCAAATTTTAGATGAGACACTCTATTGAAAGTTAGAGAGTTGTGTCCCTTTAATTGCTTTTATCACTAGAAGCTAAGATGGAATCCAAAAAACAATTGCAGTAATGAAAAATTGGGAATCCAAAATTTCAGGATTGCGGGTCCAGATAATATAATATTTTTAATTTGCTTATGGAGTCAGCTTGATACCAAAATGGTATGATATTTTGAGTTCTGGCCTCTAGGATTAAAGTTGAAAAAGTGTGACACAGTGACACACTGACATTTGCATTTATTATATAGATATAAGGTATACTTAGTATGTGTGTGTGTGTGTGTGTGTGTGTGTGTGTGTAGTGGATTCCCGACAACATTCACATACACACCACAGAGGACAAAAAAGCCAACAGGAAAAAAAAAAATCATATAATTCAACCCACTATACAACAAAAACATAAAAACAAATGTAGGAAAACACTTCCCTGAATCAAGCACTCTTTAAAAAATATTCAACAAAAACATAGTAAATATCAGCAACAGTTGCCCCAAGAACATGGCACAAATAATAAAAAAGCACAACAGGAAAACTATCAACAAACCTCCCAAACAAATTAAACCCATATGTAACTGGAGAATAAAGAATGAGTGTCCCTTAAATGGTAATTGCTTACAAAACAATGCAATATACCAGGCCATGACAAAATCATCAGATAATGAAGAAAAAGTATATATAGGAGTAACTGAAGGACCCTGGAAACAAAGAAACTATGTACACAAAACATCTTTCACAAATAGTAAATACATGAACAGCACAATGCTTTTGAAGTACATCTAGGAAAATAAAAACAAACGGCAATCATACCAAAAATATCATGGAAAATAAGGAAAGAACATCAACCTACAACAATCAATCCAAAAACTGCAAGCTCTGCTTGCGAGGAAAAAAATAGTTATAATTACCTTCCCAGCCTGCTAAATAAATGACCAGAACTCATTTCAAAATGCAGACACGAAAACAAATTTTTACTGTTACTTAAAAACTGAAAAACTAAATAAAATAAAAATAAATAAGAAAAAACAAGTAAAATAAATTACTCCAAATAAATAAAGTAAATAATAAACAAATTAACAAACCACTCCCACCAAAATAACTGTTAGAATAAACTACCCAGAATGCACCACTGACCCTAAATAGTCAAACAAAAACACAACCCCATGTGGTCTGATGATTGAATTTAACATGAAACAGTCGCCTCTGAGTGTTGACTTCAATATTCACAAACATACATACATACATACATTTAGCATTTTTATTGTATGTAGATCATTTTGACTTGGTCATTTAAAAAATAGCTCACAAACCCCAAAAAGTGTAGGCGCTGCTAGCTTAGAAAATACACCTAACTCACAAACAGAGTAAATTAAACGTTTTCTTCATTTCAGAGAACATGTCAAGAATTTGCTCTTTCTTTCAGGAACTATCCTTGAAATTTTCTCAACACAAAAGTTGCCAATAGAATAAAATTTTTTTATCTCATTTTGTTTCAGTCTCTTGTCTATCTCCTCAACCAATTTGGTTTTAGTTTGTCAACACTTGACACCATCTCGGCTTCAAATGACGTTCCTTAACCTAATAATAAATATCTTCTTACCAAGGAAAAATGCATCTGATACCATGCAGCCTTCGTTGGCACTTATTTTCTGCACCAAACTCGAAAGGAAGTAAAATTTGAATTTATTGCTCTTTTTCCTTTCCAAAATCTTCATGTAGAGAGGCTTGCTAAATTTCTTGGAGGGACATTTGTTAGGCTCATTGGCGCTTGCTTCCAGGACTGCAAATTCTGCACCGCACCGACCGATTGTCCAATTCTGTTCTAGTTCTCTGGAAATAAATGTTAAAAAAAATTATTAAACATAAATCTTACTTATTATAAAATGCAGGTTGTGTGTGTGTGTGTGTGTGTGTGTTTGTGTGTGTATCTGTTCGTTTATATACTGGATCGCATTTCCTACATTTTTCAACCGATTTCAACAAAACTTCACAGGACTACGTAAAATTACCTTGCGGTGGTTCTGACAGCGCCAAAAATTGGAAAAACACAATTGTTTTTGCACAAAATCAATTTGAAAACACGATTAAGAGGCATCACAAGAATGAAAGGGGGACAACTCATATCGAGTTATACTTATTATAAAACGCAGGTTGTGTGTGTGTGTGTGTACGTTTATATATTGGATCGGATTTCCTACATTTTTTCAACCGATTTCAACACAACTTCACAGGACTACGTAAAATTACCTTGCGGTGGTTCTAACAGCGCCAAAAATTGGAAAAACAGAATTGTTTTTGCACGAAATCAATTTGAAAACACAATGATGAGGCATCGCGAGAATGAAAGGGGGACAACTCATATCAAGTTATACTTATTATAAAACCCAGGTTGTGTGTGTGTGTGTGTGTGTGTGTTCGTTTATATATGGGATCGGATTTCCTACATTTTTCAACCGATTTCAACAAAACTTCACTTTTATTTTGGCAGGTAGTGTTTCTTATTGTCTTGCACACTTTTTTCTTTATTTTTACATTCAGAATGCTTTAAAAATTCCATTTACAAGACAATTGTTTATAATAAAATTCTATTCAATCACTAGACTCAAAGATTGAAAACAATGTTTTTGTTTGAGTTTGGGTTTGACCAATTCGTAAAAAAACAAAAAAAATAAATAAAAAAATAAAACTATGCGTGTCTGTCAACCTTAAACAATAATCTTTGTCAATTTTATTTTTCAGTCTTTATGATGGTCGATACTTGATCTATCTCTTACTGTTACATCCCCGGGCAACGCCGGGTTCTACTGCTAGTAATGTATATAATAATAAATTCTCATTCCATTAATTCATGCTTTTCATTGTTTTTTTCTTTTTTTAGCTTTTTTTCATAGCTTATCAACCATTTGTGGGTTATTTAAGGCCAAAACATATGGGGTGTAAGAAATGGTGAATATTTCATTACCAATTTTCTAGTGATAATGATTCTTCCAAATACAAGTTCTATTATTTAACCCATAGCTAGGGGGTAAGAGGAGATGGTTTACATGTAAGTGAATATAATAAACTGGAATTTGAACTCGGCTCTTGAATTTCTCTTTCCGAACCGTTAACCATTACACTATTTGCATATCCACCGTTTTCATATGCAGAACAGTTAAGTCCAGATAATAGTGCAAAAAGTCAGGGATCAGTTGTACACTATATTCATATTATAAACAGGACCCCCACTTCTAACATCAATATTTTTTGATTATGTTGTGCATTGACAATAGTTGAACGAATGCAAATCTAAAAAATTAATTTCAAAGTAATTTTCCCCTAATTTTACAAGTGGACCAATTTGTTTAAGGAGTGCTGATATTTAATCGAACATTCTGACCCTAAGCTAATCTTACTGGATGCCCTATCATATTTTTTTTTTTTTTTAGTCATTGGTCATTTAAAATGAAAAGAATTTATGAGACGAAGACTGATTTGGTTTGGTTTGTTTTGTTATATGGCACATCAACTCTTTATGGGTCATTTAATGCTGAAATTTTATTTTCTTGTGAGCTTTGGCAATTTCTTTTTTTCAAAAATATATTTCCAGTAATTGTTTTTCTGAAGTATTTTTATACTTTGGTAGTGTTTTAACCCCAGTTTAGGGGGGTTAACTATTTTCCCATAGCTGGGACCCTAACAGGTGCTACCACCCCAGGTCAGGGGGGACCAGGGAACAACAACAATTAAGAGATAGTTCCATGCTCCTCAAAACCTCCTGATCAGAGGCCTTGCTGCAGGATGTATACATCATACCCAGGACAAGATGAAGATTGGCATCTTCAACGAATTAGTATAGTGTGATGATTAACTAGTACACGCCCAATGACAATTGCTTGTTCAGTGAATTTGGGCCACACTGGGTGTCTAGATATGTTTTTTTCAAGTACCTACCTCCAAGTAATCTGCTTGACTTGATGCAAAGGGCAGAGATTCGCCAATTTAGTCTCCAAGACATTTCCTTCTATTTGATATGCAAGGCAATCAGAGAGACCAGCACTTTTATCCTTGCTCGTCATGAGTTTGGAATTAAATACTCGTAGCAGCCCAGCTGTGGAATTCATATCCTGAATAAAAGAAACGAGAGAGTGTTGAAGATCTTGGTGTAGAACAGTACTGTTCTTTTATCGGCTCTTATTTTTTTTCTTCCTTAAAAAGTTAAACATTTAATTAAAACACCACATTTTTTTTAAAGCATTTCACCCCAAGAAAGGGAGTAAAGCCACTGAGACACAAGGAGTTACTGAGTATGAGAGAAAACAATAAAAGAAGAGGAATTAAGAATCCAGAAGGAAAAGATTGACATTCATCTACAAACATTTAAATGCAAAGGCAATAAAAGCCACTAGAGGACAATAAAAGAAGAAGTTACCGACAGAAGTTAAGAATATGAAGAAAAACTACTATTAAGGAGAGAAGGACAATAAAAACAATAAAAGAAGAAGAATTAAGAAGACAGAAGATAATGATTGACATTACATTTAAATATTTGAAGATCAAAGGCAATAAAGCCACTAGGACGCAAGGGGTTACTGAGTGTTAGAGAATATGAGAAAAACTACTATTAAGGAGAGAGGACAATAAAAGAAGAATTAAAAAGATAGAAGATAACGATTGACATTGATTTTCAAACATTTAAATGCAAAGTTAACTGGAAGCAAAAAACCGAAAGAGACTTACACAAGCGAGAAGTGCAATAAAAGAAACTGTTAACAGAGGACTTACGGTTACATCTAGCCATTTCAAGTGTAAAATTTTGTTGCCAATCAAGTAAAGAATAATTACCATGAAAGTCTTTGTAGAAAAGGTACAGGGAAGCTACATTATGCAGTGAGAAAGTGACTGATGCTGAGATGCCAGGTCAGGACCAATAACACTGCAGATTCTTCTTTGGATTTTATCAAGAATCTCTAAATATACAGCAGAAGCACCAGACAAGATGTGGCAGCAATATTCAAAGCATGTACAAATGGAGGACTTATATATATATATATATATATATTTGGTTGGATAGATATATATATATATATATATATATATATATATATATTTGGTTGGATAGATGTGAGTTTGTGACCCTGGGTTTCACGCTTTTAGCGATCATCAGACAAACTGATTAATGTTTTAAAAATTTGGGTTTATGTAGATTGCGTGTATTGGTGTTATTGTGGAAGTGGTGGGGGAAATTTCGTCGTTTTGTCATTCATCGTACTAACGCAAAACATCGATGTATGCAGACACATATACATACTTGTTCGTCCGTCAGGACTCATACATATATATAAACATATGTAGACAGTTTCGGCTATGACACATGTATGTATAATGGTGGTGTTATGTCTATACATACGCATTTGTATGTTGAAATGTTGAAATTTAAACATTGGAAGTGTATGAAATGTCTCGTTATTGTCTCGTGAATGTATCCATGTCATATTATGAAATTTTTTTTTTTTTCCGTTGAAAAATATTTGAAAAATATTTTCTCGCATGTATGTATATATGTGTGGTGGGGTTTGTGTAAAATTATGATAGGTAAAAATTATTATTATAATTATTTATATTTATTTTTAATTTTTGAAAAAAAAATGGGGTTTATTTGTTATATTTAAAGCTGGTTATTTGTTTGTTTTGGTGACTGTGTATATGTAACAGGTAAAAAATTGTAATCCTTATTGTTTAATTTATATGGTGATGTTTAATTTAATAACGGGTTTATATGATATGATGTGATAGTAATGTTTCAAAGGATTGGAGACAATGCTATTTAGGTTTTAGCTAATAGTTATTGTAAACTGGAAGAAATTGCAGATTGGTAGAAATGATTAGTAACGGTGGTGGGAGAATGATAAAACCATGAATGTAGTTATAGTGGTGGTAGCTTGAACTAAAAAAGTGGTTGTTGATGTTTTATTTTTGTTTTTATTTTGTTATATGTATTAATTTATTTTGGTATAAATCCTGATAATAGGTATTCTATGTAAAATTATGGTAGTTGAAGATTGCTATAATTTTTAATTACAAAATTATTATTATTATATTAAAGCTGCCTGGTAATAGGTGTTTTGTTCTCATGGTTACATATGGAAATTATATCTGATCATATTGTTTTAAAGTATTAAATATGCTGGGGGTAATAAAGATTGTAGTGGATTATATGTTAATAGTGGGTGTGATGTGTAAGTGATGGTGCTGTGTGTAGGTGGTAATGATAATATTGATAGTTAATAGATATTCTAAGGTGGTAAAAGTGATTACTAATGATGGTGCAATTATAATAATGATAGGTGCAATTATTTTGATGGTATCTTGAAATTAAATTGTGATTGTTGGTGGTTTGTCTGTTTTATCCGTTTGGTATGAATTCGGATAATAGATACTTGTTCTCATGCCTACATTTGGAGATTATCTCTGATTTTTTGTTTAGTAAGTTCTTTTGTGGTTTGTGTGATATTATTGCTACTTTTTCATGTAGGCAAAGTAGGCATTTTTTCGTAATGTTGTTGTAGGCAGGGGCTACGATACTCACTTTTCACACATATATATATATATATATATATATATATAAGATAGATTCTGGTGAGAAAAATTGTCTGGCCCAGTGGTTCCAAATATTTTTCATCTGGGCCACATTTTTGGAATTAAAATTTGCAAGTCCAGAGAGAGGTTTAAAGAGAAATAACCTTGGATTCAAAATCAGAACATTATCATTGATAACTCTCTCCGCCAATTTGCGGACCCTAGTTACTCTTATATTAATAATGTAAAAATATCACAATGACAAAATTGGTTAATAATTATTTAAAACTATGCAATTACATATAATCCATAATATTTTAAATGTTGAAATCATATTTATTTTTGGCATATGAATCAGATTTTTCAAGCCGTCTTTTTCATGATATTCCCCAGAAATTTCAACTACCTCTTCCTGATGCTAAGTTTCCTTTTTGTTTCTATTTTCTCAAAAACATTTATTGCTTTAAGTCTCTTCATCTTTCAAGAGATTGTCCAGCATTCACCCTCATATAGGTTTGGTTTGGTTGTTTGGGTTTTATGGCATATCAGTTTTTTGGGTCATTTAAACCAATTAAGATAGATAGATATATATATATATATATATATATATATATATATATATATATATATATATATATATACACACACACACACATACACATATACCTATACATATATTAAACATACAGTACTATTAAACATAGCTGACAACATTATTTTTTCAAAAACATATAGGGGGCAACATTATTTGTTTCAAAAACGTATAGGGGGCAACATTATTTGTTTCAAAAACGTATAGGGGGCAACATTATTTGTTTCAAAAATGCATAACTGGCAATATTGTTGTTTCCAAAAAAACCTATAGCTGGCAACATTATTGTTTCAAAAACGTATAGCTGGCAACATTATTGTTTCAAAAACGTATAGCTGGCAACATCATTTTTCTGAAAACATTATCTGAAGCCTTGTTGGACGTAGTTTATCGTCATACCCAGGATGCTCATCCTCATATAGGGGGACAGATATTACATAACAGTTCAGTACTCTTTTCTTCATTTCTAACAAAGTTTTTTTTTTCGTCTCTTATTACACAGCTTTACTTTTGGAATGCATCTTTGACGATGCCAATGCATCTTTGTGTCTCGGTGTCGAACATTCCTTCCTCTTTTACGACACGTCTCAGATTTCATTTTTTTGTATTGTAAATATGTTAAATTAGATTTTATGCAATGCGAATTTGATAGATCATGGCTATCATAAATGTTTTCCACTGACAGGAAGTGGAAAGATTACATTAACTCAATTGTTAGATCTGCTGTGTAGAAAATTGATTCCCTGTGTCAGGCAAGACCAGAGGTTCCCAAACAGTGCAGCACACCTCATAGGTGAGGTGGAATGATTGAAAGACAATCAAAGACTTAGAAGTCTCTTCATCTTTCGGGTTGGTTGGTTGGGTTTTATGGCATATCAACCACTGTAGGTCATTTAATGCCAAATTAAGTTTTATATATATATATATATATATATATATATATATATATATAAGAACAACAGACCACTTTAAGGTACCATTATAATAATTTATTTCAGCAGAGTCCTTTTAAAAGGATGCGGATCATCAGATAGCACTTCCAACAACGAAATGAAATGAAAAATGAGATTAAAATTGATCGGTAGTGTAAGTTTTTGTAATTTAACAGGGGTGTGAGAGGATAGTTAAAGAGACATGGTAAAGTATAGGGAGGATTAATTTCATATCTCTCTCAAGTGTACTTTATATTGGGGTAGGAGGAGTGACCAGACCATGACCAATTTAGATGGTTAACTTCATGGAAATGATATATAGAAATGGGTAGGGAGTAGGGAGAAAAGAAAAACGAAAAAAATGAAACAGAAAAAGGAGACAGAAAACAATAATACAGATATATACAAATGAGTGTGACAGCAAGGAGAGGGGGGAGAGGGAAGTAAATCGAAAGAGGCTGTAATTGGGTTTTAACAATTTATGTAAAAGAAATTTAGATGTCTAAAAAAATTTGATGAGATTATATATATATATATATATATATATATATATAGTACTATTAAACGTATAGCTGGCAACATTATTTTTCCGAAAAACATTATCTGAGGGCTTGCTGTTGGATGTAGTTTATCGCCATACCCAGGACGCGGATGTAGCTTATTGTCATACTCAGGACGCGGATGTAGCTTATTGTCATACTCAGGACGTGGGTAAGATCTGAAAAAAACTAGGAGTTCACTATTTGCCTACAGCTGGGACCCTAACAGGTGCTACCACCCTGGGTCAGGAGTGGACCTGGGAACTCCAGCAATTAAGAGGTGGTTCCACGCTCCTCAAAACCTCCTGATCAGAGGCCTTGCTGCTGGATGCAGTTTAACGTCCTACACTAGATGTTCATCTTTCAGGAGATTGTTCAGCATTCACTGTCATATAGGAGGACAGATATTACATAACAGTTCAGTACCCTGGTTTTCATTTCGAACAAAGTTTGTTTTTTTTTTGTCTATTAATCTTTTGCTTTACTTCCGGAATCCATCTTTGACTAACCCAGTGCAGCTTTGTATCTCGGTATTGCACTTTCCATCTTCTTTTAGAACACTTCTAAGATATTTCATTTTTGTACTCAATTGATTTTAGGATCCCCAATTTGTAATTTGCATTTTGGGTTGTCCCTTTTGTTGACTATCATGCATTCTGTTGACTACTAGAGGCAATATAACATTTAATAACTAAGGCATTGGTTTTATGCAAATAAGATTAAAATGGTTGTTATTACTGATAAATAATGTATTTCACTGACCTTTAACAAATCACCAGCACCATCAATGTTATAGTTGATATAAAAAAGTCCTTTTTGGTTTAGAGTTTTCAGTTTATCTAAGGAAAATATTGTGCTATTTGTTTGTCCAGGAGCATCGTGAATCAGCACATAAGAACTGAGGCTCTCAAGGGAATGGTTTCCTGCATAAAAGAAGAAATCATTACAAATACTAGAATAAAGGTAGTAATTCATATAATAAAATACAAATTTCATTGTAACTTAATTATCTACAAATAATGGATCATATGCAATATAGATGAACAATTCAACTAGAAAAAAGTGAAAATAAATACAATGTATCTAAATACAAAATTAGAGACATGTCATAATGTCATTATTCCATCTTAAATAAATCAAAAATGTTTTGCTGCCATTTTTAACATCAACACGAGATTTTTCTTTTTTTTCTTTAAAAATTGTATGACTTATTTGCCATTTCTTCACTCAAATTGTGCCAAGATGTTCAAGGCTATTGCAAGGGTCGTGTGCCACTCCCTGAATCTACAATACGCCCCCTCCCACTCTCTACTATATTTTAATTCTCCTGAGGCAGTCTTCATATAAAATACAAATTTCATTGTAACCTATTTATGTACAATAATGGATCAAATGCAATATAGGTGAACAATTCAACTAGAAAAAATGAAAATAAATCCAATGTATCTAAATACAAATTAAAGATATGTCATAATAGATCATTCCATCTTAAATACATTTAAATAAATCAACAATGCTTAGCGGAAATTTTTAATATGAACTTGAGATTTTTCTTGTTAAAATATTGAAGAATTTTAACATATTTATGATACTCTACTACGTTTTAATTTTTCTCATGTAGTAATCTAATTTTGTTGTAATCTAATTATGTACAATAATGAATCATATGCCATATAGGTGAACAATTCAACTAGAAAAATTGAAAATAAATACAATGTATCTAAATACAAATTAGAGACATGTCATAATAGATAATTCCAATGAAATAAAATTTAAATAAATCAACAATGTTTTGTGGCAATTTTTTAACATCGACTCGAGATTTTTCTTGTTAAAATGTTGAAGAATATTAACACATTCAACATTATGGATAGAAAAAAAAATAGTGAATTTTATATCATGTTTTTTCTTCCAAGACTTATGAGCAAATGTATTCAGGACTTTATCAGAGTCGTGGGATCGAACACAATCATTTTCAATGAAAATTATTGCTAGCCCCCCCGTTTCTCATTGTTGATCGCAGATAAATTTTTAGAAGTTTTAGTTTGCTTCTCTAGAATCTATGATACACTCCCAGTCCCCTATATCTCAGTTTTCCTCAGATTGAAAATAAATACAATGTAAGTAAATACAAAATTAGAGACATGTCATAATAGATCATTCCATCTTAAATCAACAATGTTTTTCCGTAATTTTTAATATCAACTTGAGATTTTTCTTGTTAAAATATTGAAGAATTTTAACACATTCAACATTATGGATAAAAAATAGTGAATTTTATATCGTGTTTGTTTTTCCGAGACTTAACTTGAGCAAAACAAGTTCACGGATTTGGAAAAAAAAAAAAAAAAGCCCCAGAATGAGGTCAAAATCCGCAAAAATTGTCAACCATTAATAGTCAGTTGTGCTAAGTTTAATTTGTAACGTATATAAATATAGGTAGAACAAAAGCAAATTTTGATAAGATAGTGAGGTAGAATTTATATAAAATACAAATTTTATTGTAACCTAATTATCTCCTAATAATGGTTCATATACAATATAGGTGAACAATTCAATATATATATATATATATATATATATATATATATGAGGCCTGTGCAATGATATGAGGTTCTCCACTCTACTCCATCTCAGTTTTCATAAGGTAACATTTATATAAAATACGAAATTTATTCTAACTTAATTATCTACAAATAATGGATCATATGCAATGTAGGTGAACAATTCAACTAGAAAAATAGAAAATAAATCCAATGTATCTAAATACAAATTAGAGACACGTCATAATAGATCATTTCATCTTAAATAAATCAACAATGTTTTGCCACAATTTTTAACAACTTGAGATTTTTTTTTGTTAAAAACGAATAATTTTAACAGATTCAACATTATGGATTAAAAAAAATAGTGAATTTTATATCATGCTTTTTTTTTCTTTTTTTTTTTTTTGAGGCTTAGCATTAGCAAAACAATTTCACGGATTTGGATGAAGGAAACAAACAAAAACACTCTAGAATGACATCAAAATCTGCAAAAGTTTTAAATCTTTTAATCATCAGTTGTGCTTAGTTTAATTTGTAACATATACAATTTTAGGTAGAAAAAAAAAAAATAAATAAATATGGACAAGATAAGTCTGGCCAGGGTTTCCAATCTGGCTTCCCTATCTCTGGTTTGAGGGAGGGGTGGGTTAGTATGCACCAGCCCTGGTAGGAAGGAAAGCTCCTACCATCTATTTCAAGACTCTTGACAAAACGCGAAGAAGAATTTACAAAGACCTCACATCTCAACTTCAGTCAATTTCCCACCACCATGATGTGGCTACCCTCTGTCTTTTTTATAAATATTTTCATAGCAGCCATTTTGGTGCCTCAAATACATGGACTTCTGATGATTAAATGAAAATGTTTTATTTTTGGAGGCACTAAAATTCACAAGCTATTCTTTACACCAATTAACCACTGATGTTGTTCAGATGCCTAGCAGCTGCACCAGATCAGATATGGTAGCATTATTCAATGAATGTGTAAATTTTTTTTTTTTAATCATTTCAGCCCAAGCAAGGCAACAAAGCCACTAGGATGCAAGAGGTTACTGAATAATAGAATAAAACAATTAAGGAGAAGGGGCAATAAAAGGAGAATGAGACAGAAGATTGACATTGCATTTCAATTTTTGACGATCGAAATTGACAGGGAAGCAAGAAGCAGGAAGAGAGTTTCATAAGCGAGAAGTGCAAGAGAAGAAACTGTCAGCATAGGACTTACGGTTACATCTAGTCATATTAGCTGTAATCATTTCACCACTAGTAAGGCACCAAATCTACAAAGTGTTACTGAGTGTTAGAGAATATGAGAAAAACTACTATTAAGGAGAGAGGACAATAAAAGAAGAAGAATTAAGAAGACAGAAGATAACGATTGACATTGCATTTAAATGTTTGAAGATCAAAGGCAATAAAGCCACTAGGACAAAAGGGGTTACTGAGTGTTAGAGAATATGAGAAAACTACTATTAAAGAGAGAGAACAATAAAGAAGAAGAATTAAGAAGACAGAAGATAACGATTGACATTGCATTTAAATGTTTGAAGATCAAAAGGCAATAAAGCCACTACGACGCAAGGGTTACTGAGTGTTAGAGAATATGAGAAAACTACTATTAAAGATAGAGGACAATAAAAGAAGAAGAATTAAGAAGACAGAAGATAACGATTGACATTGCATTTAAATGTTTTGAAGGGAAAAGGCAAAAAAGCCACTATTAAAGAAGAGGGACAATGAGTGTTAGAGAATATGATTAAGAAGACAGAAGATAACGATTGACATTACATTTAAATGTTTGAAGATCAAAGGCAATAAAGCCACTAGGACGCAAGGGGTTACTGAGTGTTAGGGAATATGAAAAAAACTACTATTAAAGATAGAGGACAATAAAAGAAGAAGAATTAAGAAGACAGAAGATAACGATTGACATTGCATTTAAATGTTTGAAGATCAAAGGCAATAAAGCCACTAGGACGCAAGGGGTTACTGAGTGTTAGAGAATATGAGAAAAACTACTATTAAGGAGAGAGGACAATAAAAGAAGAAGAATTAAGAAGACAGAAGATAACGATTGACATTGCATTTAAATGTTTGAAGATCAAAGGCAATAAAGCCACTACGACGCAAGGGGTTACTGAGTGTTAGAGAATATGAGAAAAACTACTATTAAGGAGAGAGGACAATAAAAGAAGAAGAATTAAGAAGACAGAAGATAACGATTGACATTGCATTTAAATGTTTGAAGATCAAAGGCAAAAAAAGCCACTAGGGACGCAAGGGGTTACTGAGTGTTAGAGAATATGAGAAAAACTACTATTAAGGAGAGAGGACAATAAAGAAGAAGAATTAAGAAGACAGAAGATAACGATTGACATTGCATTTAAATGTTTGAAGATCAAAGGCAATAAAGCCACTAGGACGCAAGGGGTTACTGAGTGTTAGAGAATATGAAAAAAACTACTATTATGGAGAGAGGACAATAAAAGAAGAAGAATTAAGAAGACAGAAGATAACCATTGACATTGCATTTCCATTTTGAATGATCAAAGTTGACTGGGAAGCAAGAATCTAAAAGAGAGTTCCAAAAATTGGTAGATTTACACATGTGCAAGATGGATTCTGACGAGAAAAATTGTCTGGCATGACATGCTGAACCAACTTTCATAGCTGTAGACGTAGCAACTTATTAGATGTAAATACTCCACTTCATGTTTGTGGAGAGCATGGACCCAAGATGGCGCAGAGTTGCTCTAATGGAGGTTAGCATCAGCCATACTGATAGTAAGCAAAAAAGGTTCTCTAGGCTGATTAAATAAAAACCTTAGTAACGTACCTTTTAATTCAATCCAGTAATCTATAACCTGCAATCCCACTCTTACTTCATTAATATATAAGGGCAGTATTGAAACTTCTGTTGACGTGGACATAGTGGAAGTCACTAATTTCACATTAGTTGTACTTGTGACATATTCTGTTGTGTGTTTACTAAGCTCTGTGGAAGACTGCGTTTCAGTGGTCGTGGAGATTGTAGTTGTTAATTTCTCAGTTGTTTCAAAAAGTGAACTTTTATCAACATCCAACGTGGTCAGGTCTTTCTCGGTCACAGTAGAACTTGCTAAATCAGCTGTGTAGCCGTTAGAACTAGTATCCATCGAATAAGTCTGACTGGGGTTAAGGGTTGATATGCTGCTTACATTGACCTTGGCTGAATATGTGCTCACTGAAGTTGTCCAAGTAACTGTCGGTGATGTAGTGATTAAAGTGTTGCATTTTTTCTGACAGTTCTCAGTTCGGACGTTCAAACTTTGCACTTGAACAAAAAAGCTGTATGTTAAAGCACTGATGTCACAAGAGCAAGAGGCAAACTTTGGTGAATCTGAAGGATCCTGAAAAGAAAATAATAATATTATATATATATATATATATTTTTAAATCGCTGTCGTTTATGAATCACAGATAAAAAATGTATGGACAGACTAACACATGTACACTGCACTTGCCTGCTTTATATATAAGATTATATATCACATATCATTTAATGACCTACCCATGTCCTTTGTGCATACCTGAGAAACTATATATTACTAAGTTTATAAAAAATAAAAATTTACTGAATCAAAGAAATGAAATAGCTATTCTTTGCAGTCATTGTCAAAAATTTTCCTTAAATAATATTTAAAAATAAAATAAAAAAAAACGCGAGCTGGTAATATACATACTTAGATTCGATATGAAAAAATAATTTTAAATAACGTAAGTAATTCTATTACATTTACTTGATTTAAAAAGAAATATAGTCTATTAGTAATTAAGAGTAAAAATATTTTAAAATTATAGTTCAATAAAACATATTCTAACCTTTTGAACACCCCTAGAAAAAATCTAAGTATATACAAGTAAGAAAAGAAAATGCTTTTTGCCATTAATAATAAAAAAATCCAGACGTCATGCATTTAACAGATGTCAGAATTCGTTACAAAATAAACCCCTACCCTCCCCTCTTTTTCGAACGTAACTCAAAATTGATACAACAACAGTTAATAAAAATAATCATGCTACCACCCCTGTCTGAATGATTGGATTTCTCTGTGTCCTTGGAAACAGTAAATTATGAATTTATATGTGCGTGCGTTTCAAACTCAGTAAATTTAAAAATAAGTTATCCCAAAATTCGCTTGAAGATGAAACAGAACAATTGCTTTTAATTATATAATTAAATTTGAAGTTTTTAAGCTTCAAATTTTGAAACCTGATTATCACTGTGTAGCAAAGAAACCATATTTTAAATCAGTTTTTATATATATATATATATATATGTATGTACACACACACACACGTTTTTCTATTTTGTAAGGTAGTACAAAAATTTAAATACCACCAGAGACAAAAGTCTCTTGAAAATGGCTAAAAGAAGTGGCCAAAAGCTATTGGGTCAATAAAAATTCTGGAAAATTTTTGTACTCACTTACTCCTACAAAATGAAGAAAAAAAACATAAGGATGCTGCCCATATATATATATATATATATATATTTTCCTGAAATACCAATCCAAGTCGACGGACATAATCTGAAGTATGTAAAGAACATTAATTATCTTGGCAGCAAAGTAAATTCAAGTGGAACACTGGATGATGAGATAATCAATAGAGTAGCAAAAGCCTCTAGTGCCTTCGGAAAACTTCGTCATCGACTTTGGAAAGATCGTGATATTAGGCTTGGAACCAAAATACAGGTGTACAAGGCTGTAGTTCTCACAACCGTTTTGTATGGCTCAGAGTCCTGGACACTATACAGAAAGCAAATTCAGCAATTAGATATTTTTTACAAAGGCTGTCTTCGGGAAATCTGTGGGGGTAAACCTAAGCGAAAGAATGGCAAATGCAGACCTTTTCACCATGTGTGATATTGATGGCATTGAGTCCTTTCTCCCCTGAAATCACAATTACGCTGGACAGGTCATGTGTTACGTATGCAAGACAACAGAATTCCAAAAATGCTTATGTATGGTCAACTTGACAATAGTCATCAAAACGTGGGTCGGCCTTTGCTTAGGTACAGGGACAAGCTGAAGAGTAACCTCTTAGCTGCAAATATAAATCACACTACCTTTGAGAACATCATAATTGATCGTAATGAATGGAAGACTACATGCTACAATGGCATCAAGAACAAGGCAGCATCAAACATTGTCAAGCTTCGTCAAACTAGGGAAAGGTATAAAATATCTGCTGCTGTTCCAGCCATATACTCCAAGAATCCACACTCTTGCACAATCTGTGGACTTCTTTGCAAATCGTCTGGATTTTTTAAAATTATATTGTTAATGGCTAAAATTCTTACGGCCAGACGACACGCTTTTAACAGAAGTTAGATTTCATTGAAAAAATACATCCCTTTCCACGACCCAAACGTAGCAATAACTGATACATTAAATTATAGACATATTGAAAACCCAGCCACCCCTGTCTAGAAAAATAGATTTATCTGTAACCTTGGAAACATGAATTTTGTTTTAGCTGTGTATTTAAAACCAGTAATTTAAAAAAGTTACTCAAAAATTTCTTGAGGATGAAATGGAACTAATGTCTTTAATTTAATCACAAAATTAAATTCGTGGCTTTTTAGCTTCCATTTTTGAAAGATGGTTAGAACTGTATAGCAAAAAAAAAAAAAAAACATATTTTAAATTAATTAATTTATAATATTAATGCTCTGTAAATTTACATTGAGCACTATTTTGTAAAATAAAAATATCTATAAGAACACGGATTATATATCTTGCTGTTCTTTTCTTTCTTTATATATATATATATATATATATATATATATATATATATATATATATATATATATATATATATATATATAGTAATAATTCGACCTTGTCTACCGAACGCTTCTTTGTGACTGATTGGTAAAGGCACGTCAGCGTAAATGACAGTTCATTATAGGATGCAGGTTCGAATCCTGTCAAAGGGCGAATATTTTCTATGAAAATTTCTCGGACATTCAGGCCGATAAATGTTATTTAATACTGTTTATTATAAACAGAGCATTGACTTAAATACTTGTATCTATAAAAAAGAACGTTAAACATAAAAATGTCTTTAATAAATAAATTGTCGGACTTTGTCCATTTCTTAATATATATATATATATATATATATATATATATATATGTGTGTGTGTATATATTGTGTATTTAGGCACGAATCCTTCATTTATACACGTTTCATTACACACGACAGCCAATGTACTACGATTAAGCTTTTTATTTAATTTTTCTTGTGTTTGAACAAGTGCATTTTTTGGTGGGGATACAGAGTGTGTAGAAACTGTCCAAATGTTCTATAATTCCAAGCGCTTTCGGCTATACTTTTAGCCATTATCAAGGAAGAATTTATTATTTTGGTTTAATTGAGTGTGTGCGTTGTATGTATGTTTTTAGTGTTATAGAGATGTTTTATTTTCCGAACACAGTTAGCACATTGTGACCGCGTTTGTAGTTAATATTATTAAGTGTTGACTTTTTCATTTTTATTATTAAAGGTTCCATTATTTTTAATCATTTTTTACATGTGGATGGGGTTATGTTTGTATTTTCTACTAGTATGTTTTGCATGGAGTCTTTAAATTTGTGTGTGTGTGTGTGTGTGTGTGTGTGTGTGTGTGTGTGTGTTTAATTTTAATATATATGTGTATATATCATACTTATTATAAAACCCAGATTGTGTGTGTGTGTTCATTTATATATTGAATCAGATTTCCTACATTTTTCAACCGATTTCAACAAAACTTCACAGGACTACGTTAAATTACCTTGCGGTGGTTCTGACAGCACCAAAAATTGGAAAAACAATTGTTTTTGCATGAAATCAATTTGAAAACACGATTAAGAGGCATTAATGAAAGGGGGACAACTTATATCGAGTTATACTTATTATAAAACCCAGGTTGTGTGCGTGTGTGAGTGTTCATTTATATATGGGATCAAATTTCCTACATTTTTCAACCGATTTCAACAAAACTTCACTTTTTTTGGCAGGTAGTGTTTCTTATTGTCTTGCACACTTTTTTTCTTTATTTTTCCATTCAGAATGCTTTAAAAATTCCATTTACAAGACAATTGTTTATAATAAAATTCTATTCAATCGATAGGCTCATAACGATTGAAAACAATGTTTTTGTTTCAGTTTGGGTTTGACCAATTCATAAAAAAAAAAAAAAAAAAAAAAAAAAAAACAACTAATTAAGACATGCATGCCCATCAACCTTAAACAATAATCTTTGTCAATTTTATTTTTCAGTCTTTATGATGGCCGATACTTGATCTATCTCTTACTGTTACATCCCCGGGCAACGCAGGGCTCTACTTATATATATATATATATATATATATAAATAAACAGGGCTATGGTGAAGCAATCCATATTATAGATGAGGTTTGTTAAAAAATAAGAAATAAAATAAATAAAAATAAAAACAAGTAAAAAATTAAATTAAAAATAAATACAAATAAATATTAACAAATTAAATATGCACATATAAAGATATGCAAAAAACACCTACACACTATGGCAGTACTGCCATGGGCTGCACCTTTTGCCACCAGACAGGGTATTGTTTTTCACATAGATGTGCCAGTCTTGCAATTTTTTATGAAACTGCATGGCAGATTTTCAACATCGTGTTAAAAGCATTTGCTTTTGGACTTTAACCAGTGCATAACGTGCTTACAGTGACCATTATCGATGACGTAGAAGAGAAGGTAAACAGATGTGTTTCATGTCAGGAGTAGCATCGTGTTTAACATATTTTGTTCTTTTTGGATCTTGACCAGATCCAACTTGATACGCTTCCAATTACAAAAATATAATTAAAATAAAAATATGCTCATCTAATTAATTATAAAAATAATACAAATATACACACAAAGGTCAAAGCATGCATATATATATATATATATATATATATATATATATATATATATATAATAAGGAGGATTTGATAATTATATTTAATTAATTCATCGAGTCTGAAAGAAAACCTCAACAGAATGCAGAAAGCACTGGACGGCCGTTTCGTCCTATATTTGGGACTCATCAGAAGTGCGCATCCACTACCAAAATTGAAACCCTGACAGTTGGGTTGTCAAGCAAACGTCATACCAACTGTTCTAATGGGCCTCGGTGATGAAGAGATTGCAAATCAGAGTCAATATAGCGCTGCCCGCTCACATATTGCAATCTCTTCATCACCGAGGCCCATTAGAACAGTTGGTATGACGCTTGACAACCCAACTGTCAGGTTGCTCGGTAAAACTGCTGATGACTAACATATTAGGTTGGCAAAATAATGACGTTTTCGTTTTTTAACGTCAAAAACGACATTATTACGTCATTATTTTTGCACCAATCTAATAGGACGAAACGATCCAGTTATTGCATTCTGTTGAGGCTTTTCTTTCAGACTCAATGAATTGATTAAAATATATATATATATATATATATATATATATATATATATATATATATGAGTTGGTCATTTTGGCAATTTGTGTTTTGGTATCAGTTTCCGTTTATTCAGATCGCGGTTCTTTGATTTGGTTTTTAATTTAGTATTTTTGCTTTCTAAGGAAGCCTTTCATTTTTGTGTATAATGACAGCAGCATTTCCGATCGATATCTGATTTCATTTGATAAATTTGCAACTTAGTTTGTTTAACTTATAATATCTTGCGTATTTATGGTCTGAGGCCTTGTAGGAAGATGAATGAAGGCATAACATCACCATTACTAGTGATCACTCCAAACACCTTCGTAATCACCATTAGACTCGGCCAACTCTTTCTGAACCCTCTGCACTGTTCTCAGACTGACCCTCAAATACTGTGAGATGTTTGTCTTGGAGCAAGTGCCTAGCAGAAAGACATGAGGTTTCCAAATTTCTGGGTGAGTGAATTGCATCATGGTACACTGTGCCCAACTGACCCTACGATACTGTACAGTCAACAAAATCAGAAACAATGTACATGTGCAAAATTAAAAATATGAAATGGCAGCAATTTACCCATCACACCATGTGTGTGTGTGTATATATATATATATATATATATATATATATATATATATATATATATATATTAACCATATGCATATTAAAAGAAAACAAAATTACAGGACAAACAAATAAAAAATAATCAATGAAAAGAAACTTACAAGTTTGAGGTACACGGGTGTCACTGATCGGGCAGGATTTTTATCTGGGTAAGTCTAAAAATAAAGAAAAAAAAAATGGAGAACATGAAAAAGCAAAAATGAAAATATTTACACCATTTATATTGTTCGGACTGTTGTCCTCATTTTCATTGTCATATTCACAACATTTCAGGAATTGTACGCTCTGAACAGACAGGTATGAAGTAGTAGAAAAGCTATTAGAAGAGAAGAGACAGGTGTGAAGTGGTAGAAAAACTATTAGAAGAGAAGAGACAGGTGTGAAGTGGTAGAAAAACTATTAGAAGAGGCAGGTGTGAAGTGGTAGAAAAACTATTAGAAGAGGGAGGTGTGAAGTGGTAGAAAAGCTATTAGAAGAGGCAGGTGTGAAGTGGTAGAAAAGCTATTAGAAGAGGCAGGTGTGAAGTGGTAGAAAAACTATTAGAAAAACTGGTAGAAAAACTATTAGAAGAGACAAGAAAAAACTATTAGAAGAGAAGAGACAGGTGTGAAGTGGTAGAAAAACTATTAGAAGAGGCAGGTGTGAAGTGGTAGAAAAACAGGTGTGAATTAGAAAAAGAGAAAGAGACAGGTGTGAAGTGGTAGAAAAACTATTAGAAGAGGCAGGTGTGAAGTGGTAGAAAAACTATTAGAAGAGAAGAGGCAGGTGTGAAGTGGTAGAAAAACTATTAGAAGAGAAGAGACAGGTGTGAAGTGGTAGAAAAACTATTAGAAGAGGCAGGTGTGAAGTGGTAGAAAAACTATTAGAAGAGGCAGGTGTGAAGTGGTAGAAAAACTATTAGAAGAGGCAGGTGTGAAGTGGTAGAAAAACTATTAGAAGAGAAGAGACAGGTGTGAAGTGGTAGAAAAGCTATTAGAAAAGAAGAGGCAGGTGTGAAGTGGTAGAAAAACTATTAGAAGAGAAGAGACAGGTGTGAAGTGGTAGAAAAACTATTAGAAGAGAAGAGACAGGTGTGAAGTGGTAGAAAAACTATTAGAAGAGGCAGGTGTGAAGTGGTAGAAAAACTATTAGAAGAGGCAGGTGTGAAGTGGTAGAAAAACTATTAGAAGAGGCAGGTGTGAAGTGGTAGAAAAACTATTAGAAGAGGCAGGTGTGAAGTGGTAGAAAAACTATTAGAAGAGGCAGGTGTGAAGTGGTAGAAAAACTATTAGAAGAGAAGAGACAGGTGTGAAGTGGTAGAAAAACTATTAGAAGAGACAGTGAAGTGGTAGAAAAACTATTAGAAGAGGCAGGTGTGAAGTGGTGGTAGAAAGACAGGTTAGAAGAGAAAAACTATTAGAAGAGACAGGTGTGAAGTGGTAGAAAAACTATTAGAAAGAAGAGACAGAAGTAGAAAGACAGGTGAAGAGACAGGTGGTGGAGAAAAACTATTAGAAGAGAAGAGACAGGTGTGAAGTAGAAAACTATTGGAAGAGGCAGGTGAAGAAAAACTATTAGAAGAGGCAGAAAAACTATTAGAAGAGGTGTGAAGTGGTAGAAAAACTATTAGAAGAGACAGGTGTGAAGTGGTAGAAAAACTATTAGAAGAGGCAGGTGTGAAGTGGTAGAAAACTATTAGAAGAGAAAAGGCAGGTGTGAAGTGGTAGAAAAACTATTAGAAGCAGACAGGTGAAGTGGACAGAAAGTGGTAGAAAAAACTATTAGAAGAGAAGGTGTGAAGGTGAAAAACTATTAGAAAGGCAGGTGTGAAAGAAAAACTATTAGAAGAGAAGAGATTAGAAGAGAGTGCAGGTGTGAAGTGGTAGAAAAACTATTAGAAGAGAAAAAACAGAGACAGGTGTGAAGTGGGAAAAAAACTATTAGAAGAAAAGTGGTAGAAAAACTATTAGAAGAGAAAGAGACATTAGACAGGTGTGAAGTGGTAGAAAAACTATTAGAAGAGACAGGTGTGAAGTGGTAGAAAAAAGAAAGACAGGTGAAGTGGTAGAAAAAACTATTAGAAGAGGCAGGTGTGAAGTGGTAGAAAAACTATTAGAAGAGAAGAGACAGGTGTGAAGTGGTAGAAAAACTATTAGAAGAGAAGAGACAGGTGTGAAGTGGTAGAAAAACTATTAGAAGAGAAGAGACAGGTGTGAAGTGGTAGAAAAACTATTAGAAGAGACAGGTGTGGAAGTGTTAGAAAAACTAAGAAGACAGGTGTGAAGTGGTAGAAAAACTATTAGAAGAGACAGGTGAAGTGGTAGAAAACTATTAGAAGAGACAGGTGTGAAGTGGTAGAAAAAATTAGAAGACAGAGTGGTAGAAAAACTATTAGAAGAGACAGGTGTGAAGTGGTAGAAAAACTATTAGAAGAGGCAGGTGTGAAGTGGTGAAAAACTATTAAAAACTATTAGAAGAAGAGACAGGTGTGAAGTGGTAGAAAAACTATTAGAAGAGACAGGTGTGAAGTGGTAGAAAAACTATTAGAAAACTATGGTAGAAAAAAATTAGAAGAGGCAGGTGTGAAGTGGTAGAAAAACTATTAGAAGAGACAGGTGTGAAGTGGTAGAAAAACTATTAGAAGAGACAGGTGTGAAGTGGTAGAAAAACTATTAGAAGAGAAGAGACAGGTGTGAAGTGGTAGAAAAACTATTAGAAGAGGCAGGTGTGAAGTGGTAGAAAAACTATTAGAAGAGACAGGTGTGAAGTGGTAGAAAAACTATTAGAAGAGGCAGGTGTGAAGTGGTAGAAAAACTATTAGAAGAGGCAGAAGTGGTAGAAAAACTATTAGAAGAGAAGAGAAAAACTATTAGAAAGAGGTGTGAAGTGGTAGAAAAACTATTAGAAGAGGCAGGTGTGAAGTGGTAGAAAAACTATTAGAAGAGACAGGTGTGAAGTGGTAGAAAAACTATTAGAAGAGACAGGTGTGAAGAGAATAGAAGAGAAGAGACAGGTGTGAAGTGGTAGAAAAACTATTAGAAGAGGACAGGTGTGAAGTGGTAGAAAAACTATTAGAAGAGACAGGTGTGAAGTGGTAGAAAAACTATTAGAAGAGAAGAGACAGACAGTGGTGTGAAGTGGTAGAAAAACTATTAGAAGAAGAGACAGGTGTGGTGGAAGTGGTAGAAAAAACTATGGTAGAAAGAAGAGAAACAGAAGTGGTAGAAAAAGAGTGACAGGTGTGAAGTGGTAGAAAAACTATTAGAAGAAGACAGGTGAAGTGGTAGAAAAACTATTAGAAGAGAACAGGTAGAAAAGCTGGTAGAAAAAACTATTAGAAGAGACAGGTGTGAAGTGGTAGAAAAACTATTAGAAGAGAAGAGACAGGTGTGAAGTGGTAGAAAAAAACTATTAGAAAAAAGAAGAGGCAGGTGTGAAGTGGGAAAAACTATTAGAAAGAGAAGACAGAAAAACTATTAGAAGAGAAGTGTGAAGTAGAAAAACTATTAGAAGGTGTGAAGTGGTAGAAAAACTATTAGAAGAGGCAGGGTGAAGTGGTAGAAAACTATTAGAAGAGAAGAGACAGGTGTGAAGTGGTAGAAAAACTATTAGAAGAGGAAGAAGTGGGAAAAACTATTGAAGAAGTGGTGAAGTGGTAGAAAAACTATTAGAAGAGAGAAAACTATTAGAGGTGTGAAGTGGTAGACAGGTGTGAAGTGGTAGAAAAACTATTAGAAAGAGAGCAGGTGTGAAGTGGTAGAAAACTATTAGAAGAGAAGTGACAGGTTAGAAGAGAAAGAGACAGGTGTGAAGTGGTAGAGAAAAACTATTAGAAGAGAAGAGACAGGTGTGAAGTGGTAGAAAAACTATTAGAAGAGACAGGTGTGAAGTGGTAGAAAAACTATTAGAAGAGGCAGGTGTGAAGTGGTGGTAGAAAACAGGTGTGAAGTGGTAGAAAAATATTAGAAGAGAAGAGACAGGTGTGAAGTGGTAGAAAAACTATTAGAAGAGAAGAGACAGGTGTGAAGTGGTAGAAAAACTATTAAAGAGAAGAGACAGGTGTGAAGTGGTAGAAAACTATTAGAAGAGGCAGGTGTGAAAGATGAGACAGGTGTGAAGTGGGTAGAAAAACTATTAGAAGAGAAGAGACAGGTGTGAAGTGGTAGAAAAACTATTAGAAGAGAAGAGACAGGTGTGAAGTGGTAGAAAAACTATTAGAAGAAGGCAGGTGTGAAGTGGTAGAAAAACTATTAGAAAGAGAAAACAGGTGTGAAGTGGTAGAAAAACTATTAGAAGAGAAGGACAGGTGTGAAGTGGTAGAAAAAACTATTAGAAGAGAAGAGACAGGTGTGAAGTGGTAGAAAAACTATTAGAAGAGAAGAGACAGGTGTGAAGTGGTAGAAAAACTATTGGTAAAAAAATTAGAGAGAAGAGGCAGGTGTGAAGTGGTAGAAAAACTATTAGAAGAGAAGAGCAGGTGTGAAGTGGTAGAAAAACTATTAGAAGAGAAGAGACAGGTGTGAAAGAGAAGAGACAGGTGTGAAGTGGTAGAAAAACTATTAGAAGAGACAGGTGTGAAGTGGTAGAAAAACTATTAGAAGAGGCAGGTGAAGTGGTAGAAAAACTATTAGAGAGGGACAGGTGAATGGTAGAAAAACTATTAGAAGAGAAGCACAGGTGTGAAGTGGTAGAAAACTATTAGAAGAGAAGAAGAGAAAAACTATTAGAAGAGGCAGGTGAAGTGGTAGAAAAACTATTAGAGAGAAGAGAAAAACTATTAGAAGAGGCAGGTGAAGTGGTAGAAAACTATTAGAAAGAAGGCAGGTGTGAAGTGGTAGAAAAACTATTAGAAGAGAAGAGACAGTGAAGTGGTAGAAAAGATTAGAAGAGACAGGTGAAGTGGTAGAAAAACTATTAGAAGAGAAGAGACAGGTGTGAAGTGGTAGAAAAAACTAGAAGAGAAGAGACAGAGAAAAACTATTAGAAGAGAAGAGACAGGTGTGAAGTGGTAGAAAAACTATTAGAAGAGGCAGGTGTGAAGTGGTAGAAAAACTAAGAGAAGAGACAGGTGTGAAGTGGTAGAAAAACTATTAGAAGAGAAGAGGCAGGTGTGAAGTGGTAGAAAAACTGAATTAGAAAAAATTAGAAAGAGGCAGGTGTGAAGTGGTAGAAAAACTATTAGAAGACAGGTGTGAAGTGGTAGAAAAACTATTAGAAGAGAAGAGGAGGTGTGAAGTGGTAGAAAAAAACTATTAGAAGAGAAGAGACAGGTGTGAAGTGGTAGAAAACTATTAGAAGAAAAACTATTAGAAGAGAGAAGTGGCAGAAAAAGTATTAGAAGAGAAGAGGCAAAGTGGTAGAAAAACTATTAGAAGAGAAGAGACAGGTGAAGTGGTAGAAAAACTATTAGAAGAGAAGAGACAGGTGTGAAGTGGTAGAAAAACTATTAGAAGAGACAGGTGTGAAGTGGTAGAAAAAACTAGAAGAGAAGAAAGTGGTAGAAAAACTATTAGAAGAGAAGAGGCAGGTGTGAAGTGGTAGAAAAACTATTAGAAAAAGAGGCAGGTGTGAAGTGGTAGAAAAAACTATTAGAAGAAGAGACAGGTGTGAAGTGGTAGAAAAACTATTAGAAGAGAAGAGACAGGTGTGAAGTGGTAGAAAAGCTATTAGAAGAGAAGAGGCAGGTGTGAAGTGGTAGAAAAACTATTAGAAGAGAAGAGGCAGGTGAAGAGACAGAAGAGAAGAGAGCAGGTGTGAAGTGGTAGAAAAACTATTAGAAGAGAAGAGACAGGTGTGAAGTGGTAGAAAAAACTATTAGAAGAGAAGAGACAGGTGTGAAGTGGTAGAAGAGAAAACTGAAGTGGTAGAAAAGAGAAGAGAAGACAGTGTGAAGTGGTAGAAAAACTATTAGAAGAGAAGAGACAGGTGTGAAGTGGCAGGTGTAGGAAGAGAAGAGACAGGTGAAGTGGTAGAAAAACTATTAGAAGAGAAGAGACAGGTGTGAAGTGGTAGAAAAACTATTAGAAGAGAAGAGACAGGTGTGAAGTGGTAGAAAAACAGGTGTGAAGTGGTAGAAAAAACTAGAAGAGAAGAGACAGGTGTGAAGTGGTAGAAAAACTATTAGAAGAGACAGGTGTGAAGTGGTAAAAAAAACTATTAGAAGAGACAGGTGTGAAGTGGTAGAAAAAAAAACTATTAGAAGAGACAGGTGTGAAGTGGTAGAAAAACTATTAGAAGAAAAACTAAGAAGAGACAGGTGTGAAGTGGTAGAAAAACTATTAGAAGAGACAAGAGTGGTAGAAAACCATTAGAAGAGACAGGTGAAGTGGTAGAAAAACTATTAGAAGAGGCAGGTGTGAAGTGGTAGAAAACTATTAGAAGAGGCAGGTGTGAAGTGGTAGAAAAACTATTAGAAGAGACAGGTGTGACGTATTAGAAAAACTATTAAAAGAGAAGAGACAGTTGCATCTCACTAGTTCAACAGTAAAATGGTCAAACTTAATTGTCAATCTCATAGCACACTTAAATTTATGTATTCAAGGCAACAAGGGGTAAAGTTCATCAGAACAATTGCCATGAAAATATTTGTGGCAAAAACAGAGTGAAGGTATGTCATGACAGTAGGAAAATGACTGAAGCTGAGATACTAGATCAGGACCATTTACATCACAGATCCTCTCTTGAATTTTGTCAAGAATTTCAAGATATGTAGTAGGAGCACCTTATCAGGTATGGCAGCAATATTCAATGAACGGACAGTTTTTTTTTTTTCTTTTTTAAGTCAGTATCAGCCCATGCAAGGCAGTAAAGCCACTAAGACACAAGGGGTCACAGAGTGTGGAAGAATTAGAAACAGAAACATTAATAATGAGCAGAAAGAGAAGAGGGTAATCAGGTGGACAGTAGATAGCGATTGACATTGCATTTAAATTTTTGCAGATTAAAGTTGGCTGGAAAGCATGGAGCTGGAAGAGATTTCCACAAGCGAGAAGTGCAAGAAAGAAAATGTTAGTATAGAATTTACAGTTATATCTAGCCAGCTCAAATGTAAATTGATGGGATCTCAATGCCAGTTCCATCCTGCATTTAAATTCAGAAATTCTAGTGTAGTTCTCATTCGTACTTTGAATATACGCTCTTCTTGCGCTAGAGGGCGTCGTCAGTGATGTTCTGAAATTGGATCATTGGGCAGTTTCGGGTCTTTCAAACATCATACTGACCTCACCAAATCGACCCCCTCAGAGCTGATCAGACTCTGATACGCCCTCGAAAAAATGCTTGTAGACACTGACTTCTATAAATGTACCCCGTTATCACACATTTGATTGGAGGTTGACCAACAGCCAATCACAACAGTGCAAACTCTATTTAAGCTGTTTACAGGTAATTTTTTCCTTTTTCCTTTTTTTTTGAGTGGACACCCTTTCATTGGATACTTAGACGGTAATTATGTTTTCCGTTTTTACCCATTTCCCATCAAGTTTAATTTCACCAGCTAGTAATCAATATTTACAGAGATAATAAGAAAAATTCGGCAATTAAAATTAATAAATAAATTACAGCGAACAATTACCATGAAAGTATTTATAGAAAAGACAACCGCATGGCAACCTATAGTGAGACAGTAACTGCAGCTGAGCTGCCAGATCAGGACCAATAATATTGCAGATTCTTCTTTAAATCACTATAATTTTCCCAATTCATGGTAAATGTGAGCTGAAGGTGGTGCAAAGAGTTACTCTCCTGGACTGAACTTCTTAGCTGAAGAATTTTTTTAAGGTAATACACCCCAAGCAAGGCAGGAGTGCCACTAGCCATGCAAGGGGTAACAGAGAGTAGACAACAAGAGTAAAGAGGCATGTTTGGGGAAACGATACAGAGAAGGACAGGGAACAAGCTCAGGGTGTCAGATGTCAATTGACATTACACTTGAATATTTGAAGATTATAGTCATCAGGGAAGCAAGTAAGGGGAAGGGAGTTCCACAGATGGGAAGTGCGGGAGAAGAAGCTGTTTGAGAAGAAGAGACGGTTACATTTAACTGTTTTGACAGTGAAAGGGTAAAACCAAAATGCCAGCCTGGTAGCACGTTTAAAGTCCAAGAACCAGTGACAGCAGCTCGTCGGAACAGTTGCCGTGAATTGCTGAATTTTCATATGAAGGGGGTAGGTGGGGATGCAAGAGATCTGCATGAATAGGAATTACTTACCTGTAGTATTTTGTTTAGAGAAAACCAAGAAAAAGTTTGTGCTCCAAAATACACACTGTCAAGTAGAATTAATTTTGATTTGATCTTTACTTTCAACTGGATATTGTAAACCGAGCTCTGTAAGAAAAAAATAGAAAAACTGGTAAGAATTCAACAATACAAACTTTCATAAGGTCAATACACAGCTATGAACATCAAATGGATGAAGAAAAAATATTTTTTTTACGTCTGCTGAAATATTAAATTACGATCATGAATCTCCCATAACCCATTAGAGTCATTAGGGCACCATATGTACTTCAGTAGAAGTGGCATTTCTTCGGCAAGATAACCTGACAGGGGACAACCATCTCTAGGCTGGTTTGAATTCAGAGTTTTCTTTCTCCTAGACTGGCTGCCACCCAAGGCTATAGAATGTTGCCTGTTCTGCTATTTACTCATAGCTGGGAGAAGACTGATTCATAACTTTCTTTTCTCAACATCCTGGATATGACGATAAACTATATCTGCATCCTGAGTAAGACGATAAACTACAACCAACAGCAGGGCCTCTGATTAAAGGCTTTGAGAAGCATGGAACCACCTCTTAATTGCTGGTGTTCCCAGGTCCACCTTGATCCAGGGTGGTAGCACCTGTTAGGGTCCCAGCTATGGGCAAAAAGTTAACCCCCAAACAGGGGTCAAAACACTATGAAAGTATAAAAATAGGTTTTAATGCCAGCAATACTTTTTTTTATAAAGCAATAAATTTTTGAAGAAAAAATTATTACCAGCAATTTAAATAAAAAAAAAAAAAAAAAAAAAAAGGGATTTACCAACAATATATTTTTGAAAAAAAAAAACAAATAAATATTACAATTGTTGAAGAAAAAAAATATTACCAGCAATAAAAATCTTGTCGGTATTAAATAACCCATTGAGGTTGATATGCCGTAAAACAAACCAAATCAAACCACATCTCACAGAGCAAATATCAGTGGAGATTATCAAGAACAACTGAAGATTGTCGAAAATTACTGATAGAAAATTGTTGGGTCAGCAGTCTGAGAAAAAGTCAACAAGAAAGAAGTTTGCCGAGTCAAAAAAGGTAAGCCAAGAATATTATTTCTTTTTTTATTTGGTGAAACGTTGGCATATTTTACCAAAGAATCTTTCAGGTTGAATTTCTTTTTCCCCCTCTTATTCATTAAATAATGTTTTGTAATCATTGTTTTTTATGAAACTAATTTTTATTTGGAAAAAAAAAAAAAAAAAAAAAAGATGACATTGAAATGGAATAAAAAATTAATCTTTTTATTACCAGCAATAGTTTTTTTTGAAGGAAAAAAAAAAAATATTACCAGTAATAAAAATCTTGTTGGTATTAAATAACCCATTGAGGTGTTGATATGCGGAACTGAAGTGGAATGGCATTTGGGCAATTTATTGGGTTGTAATGGTTAACAAGCTTGTCTTGCAAGAATAATCACAACTAAGTTGACTTCGATCTTCAATGAGTGCCCCTCATTTTTGGCCTTGTGCCACGTCTAAGCTATGCTTAGAAAAGTGCACTTCCACATGGTGTAATGGTTAGCAAGCTTGTCTCGCTAGATCAATTATGACCGAGTAATGAGTGATCCTCACTGAATGCCCCACACTTTCAGCCTTGTGCCATACCCAAGCTATGCTATCATCTGGGAATTTCAACATGTTATAATGATTATCAGCCTTGGCTGACTAGATTATTTACAACTGAATAGCGAGTTTGATCCTCACTGGGTGCCCCACACTTTTGTCCTTGTGCCACATCTAAGCTACACTTAGAAAATCCCTAGAGCACATTGATGTGGTGTGATGGTTAGGCTGAGTAGCGAGTTCAAACCTCACTGGGACGCCCCACACTTTCGACAATCATGTTTTGAAATAATTCGATAATACAACAAACTGAATGTAAATAGTGTAAACAATGAAATTATAGAAGACAAATTGGTGGGGAAAAAAAATGTTCTTACCTTGTTAAAAGTACGAGAAATTGCAAATGAAACGTTGCTTGTCTTATTCTTGGTGGTTTCTTGAAGAGAGATATTTTGGATAGATGTGTTGTTCTCAAAAATTTCAATTACATGATTGTCCAATGGAAAATAATCCAAACCATGGCTTAGTAGCTGTATGGTAAAATTGAAAAGGGACCTGATTTGGAAAAAGTCAAAGCGCACAGGAGATGAAGGGCAGTCATTAATTTTCCCTTTCGATTTATTGCCTGCTAGGACAGTGGCAATGACTCCACTTGCATTTCGATAACAACTGATAACATCACTCCATCCTAAAAGAAAGAGGAAGAAAAAAAAATGATTAAAGACAATTATTGCAAGAGGACAAAATGACTTCTTCACATACAAATGCAGATATATGTATTGCAACACAGACCAGAATTGAGCTTCTAAAAATCATATATTTCTTTTTGCTGAGGGAGTAATTTTTGTATTCATTTGGTAAAATGCTTTTTTTGTTAGCTCCCCACCCCAATTAATTCAAGGAAATTCCAAGAAATTAATTTTTGTATTTTGTTTTCTAAGCAATCTTACGACGTCGACTGTCGACGTTTTCTAAGCAATCATACGGTGTCAACTATGGTTGGTTTCGATATCAATATTTCCATTCGTAAGGTTTATATTTTTTGGTATAAACACACTGTTATCAACTTGACATGGCTGTAAGCCTGGCTGAACACATGGAATAGTGCATGTGTTTCTTGGTGGAGACTATTTTTCATTGGTGGGTCAATAACTTCCCTAAACCCAAGCAAATATGAATATCATGTGGTGTAGTGTGTACATCCACAGAGATAAATAAGCTTACCTTTTCTCTTTTTAAAAATATCAATTACTTCCGATTTGTTTACCTGAAATAGAAACAAACACAGAATCAAACAAAACAGAAAGAACATTATTTACTTAAACAATTATCCTCACCTTGATTTGTGTAGCCCTAATCGAATGATACTAATGCATGAAATGTGGTTAGTCACTTGAAATATTGCGAGAGTGGGTAATTCTGAGCAATGCATAGAGAAAAGTATAAATCACAGACTTTAGACCTTTATTTTAAACATTTACACATCCAGCAACTATTTATTTAGTTTACAGAGGGAAGGCTGATTGGACTTATTATAAATGCACTCCCATAAGGTAATACAAATGTGCTCTGCTGATAACTGTGAAAAAAAAAAAAATTAATGCAAAGAAGTTGGATTATTTCTTGAGTGTTTTCCTAAAAAGCAACCCTAGAAATGCAGAATATTTAAATATGGCCATCATTTTTTTTATGTTTTACATAAATTGATAGCAGTTATTTTTACCTCTGTAGAAATGTTTAATTTTAGAGTGACTGTCTCATTCTGAATATTCTTCAAGAAACTTTTTTCTGCTTGATTCATTGTGTTGAAATCAAGGACAAGGAATCCTTCACTGTTTGTCATCATTTCTCTCAGCAGAAAGGATAAAGATCTGGTTTAAAAAAGAAGAAGAGATTAAATATAATAAAGTCTGAAAAATAAATTTTCTGTAAATATATATGTATATCAACGAGAATATCACATTAGTCAATCACCACTTTGTTGCCCATGATGATAATCTACATCTGTGTCCTGGGTAAGACAATAAACTACATCCAACAGCAAGTCCTCTGATCAGGAGGTTCTGAGAAGCCTGGAACAACCTCTTAATTGCTGGTGTTCCTAGGTCCACCCTGACCCAGGGTGGTAGCACCTGTTAGGGACCCAGCTACGAGAAAATAGTTAACCCTGAAAAGGGGTCAAAACACTATGAAATTGTAAAAATAGGTTTTAATACGAGCAATACATTTTTTGTAAAAATTATTACCAGCAATGGATTTTTGAAGGTCTGGTTTGGTTTATTTTGTTTAATGTCATATCAACCTCAATGGGTTATTTAATGCTGACGACATTTTTAAGATAGATTCTTATGAATAGAAAATCTATTCTTTGGTTTAGATTGGTTTGCTTTATTTTGTTTAACGGCATATCAACCTCAATGGGTTATTTAATGCTGACAAAGATTTTTATTGCTGGTAATGTTTTGTTTTGTCAAAAATCTGTTTCTGGTAATATATTTCCTTCAAAATTGTATTGCTGGTAATAATTTTTTTCAAGAAAGTATTGCTGGTAATAGTTAACAATTTGCCCATATCTGGGACCCTAACAGGTGCTACCACCCTGGGTCAGGGTGGACCTGGAAACACTAGCGATTAAGAGGTGGTTCCACACTTCTCAAACCCTCCGGATCACTTGCTGAGGACTTGCTGCTGGACGTAGTTTAACATCTCACCCAGGATGCGGATGTTGTTTAACGTCTTACCTAGGACGGGATTTTTTAAGGAAAAAAATATTACCAGCAATACAGTTTTGGAAAAAATATTACCAACAATAAAAATCCTGTTGGAATAAAATAAACCACTGAGGTCTATATGTCGTAAAACAAAAACAAACCACGGAGTTCAACACTTCTGATATAAGGTAGGGATGTTTTTTTAATAAATGTTTAATGCTTCTGGTCTATTTGTCATGCAAATAATACTGGAGGACTCTTGTGAGACCAGGCAAAAATAAGATGTAAGACATGAAATTTAAACAAATAAATATTAACAGATATGGCATTTTTACAAAAAGGAAAAATAAGTCAGGATGATTAAAAATGTGAAGATTTTAAAGGAACCTTCAGTGTCTGTAGCTGAGGTACTTACACTCTTGTGCAAATTAATTGAAACAACCACTTTAGTTTCTTTTCTTTCACCATACAGTCAGTTTTAGACCCACTGGAGTAACAGGGTATGATCAATTTCTATTTTTTCGTCAGATTAGGTCATTTGCAGTGGTATGCAGTAATAGGAATCTATTTTGGGGCTGTATGATGAAATTTGTTTGGCCTTAAAAACTATTACTGCATCTATGATTGCATCAGATCTTTATCATGCCCAGACACTATTGTCTCTACTGTCGATTATTTGTCCTACGGTCATTGTCTGCAATGGATGTTACTCCAAGGAAGCATACAAAGATTGTAACACTGCACAAGCACACTGGCAAGCCTTACTAGTGAGCAAATCAAAGCATTACAGACTGGCCCAGAAACTCTCCTGATTTAAATCCAATCAAGAATGTGGTCAATCTGCAAGCACAAGGGTGTACATGATGAAGGGAGTGAGAAGAATATGTTTTTTCACTATCAAAGTAACCAATCCTCTCAAATTCTCAAAATAACTTCGTAATGTTGATATTAAATTCAGGTGTCGGAGTTTTTTTTCATTTATTTTCTCAAGTAGTTTCAATCTTATCCAAGATCATCTTCAGGGGCGAATTGATAAGACAAAAAACTAATGTAATTGATAGTTGTGAATTTTTTTTGTAAATGCATATGAAATACACTGTTATAATCATACACGCAGTACCACCATCAGTTCATCATCCTGGTATATTCCATAATCGTCAATGTGGACAATTTCATTTGTTTTAATTAACTTATATATTCCCAACAGTTCAGACACCTCTGCCCTGTTGAATGATCCTTGACAGACATCAAAATTACCAGCCTTGGATTTCTTAATCCACGCTTCACCATTATGAAATAAAACTGATTTATGGCAATGAAGGATTACTTTAATATGTTCAGGCTTTAAGCATACAAAGTCCTTGGCAAGCATCAGAGTCTCCAATAAATTCTTTTCAGTAATAGACGGATAGAAATCCATTATATTTGATGAACGCTTTATTACTCTGGTTGGGAATGTTTTCAAACCATGAAATGCAATCTGACATGCTCTTCCACTGGTTTAGCCCCCGTGGGCACTTGTATTTATGGGTGTCCCTTCAAACTGGTGTGGTGTGGGCGAATAGGTGGGTTTTATGCAAATCTCCTAAAATTCAACCAGTTTCATTCTTTCATTCTCATTTCACCCTTAGTAATTTGCAAGTATCCATTACAATTTTGTCGCTTATAAAAACCAAGTGTTGGGTTTATCAAGCGGAATGATGGACTGCTGAGGAAATCTTCTTTGTGGTCTTTTACTATCAAGAAGGCTGGCTTTTTGGCCAATATTCTGACTTTGCTGCTAATGCCAAACATTGTGGAGATTTCTTATTGGAATTTAATTTGAGAAGCACGAATACAATATTTGACGAGTTCACGTTCTAGACTTTTCCAATCCTCACCCCAGCTTTTTTCCCTGCTTTCAAAACAGACTCCCAAAGCCTTGATTCTTATCAGAGATCAGCAGTAGTATTATCTGGAACTTTGATTAGATGAAGTCAATGATTAGTAATTATTTTATTAGGGCTTCTTTCATTTTAATTTCATTTGTTTTATTTCCACTAATAGTATTACTGTGACAATATTTAACATACGGACGAAAAGGGTTAAAAAGACTATTTTATTTTTTTTGTCAGAAAGGGAATCATTTTCCAGTAGCATTGGGAACAGACGTATGATTTTTGTTAAAAAAAAATATATACAGAATGCTATTGTCGCTGCCTGGAGAGAGACAGTGAACAGGTGCAGGATCAGGGGGCAGAGGTTAAGGTCACCTGTTGAAAGGTGTCCGATGTATACATGCTGAGAAAATTGTTAGCCAAAATTTCCCTGAGAAAAAATTATAATTGTGAAAACAGAATGAGCAATTGTGAAGGCAGAAGATGTCATATAATGGCTCCTTTTGAAAGAGGAGAGGGATCTTCCAAAATTAGAAGTGTGAAACAGAGAATGAAAGAATGAGACTGGTTGAATTTTAGGAGATTTGCATAAAACCCATCTATTCGCCCACACCACACCAGTTTGAAGGGACACCCATAAATACAAGTGCCCATGGGGGGGCTAAAGTTAGTTGAAGTTGCAACAGGGAGTTAAGAGATTTCTGCCATAACGCTGTTTTGCCATCCTGATAATAATAATTATCTGCTGAAGGAGAAAACCTTGTGCCATTCTTGAAAAAAAAAAAAAAAACCCAACAGTATTTGAAGATAAATCCAGTTGTCAAGTCTGGTCACCCTTAGAGAAGTTAGCTGAAATTTTTGTTCTGTCGCCCAATATTAGAAACAGGTCGGGGGAAAAAAAAGAAAAAGAACTGTAAATATTTATTTTTATTTTTATATAAATATCAGGTGTCATTCATTTTATTTTCAATTTTGTGTGCGTGTATTCAACTCGTTGGTTTAGCTTGGTCCAGATACCCCAGTCATAATTCGGCTTGACTCTCTTAAGATCAAAAATCATGTGTGTAAGAGACGTCATCGTTGAAGAGGTCAACTTAAAGACCAGCTGCTGTGTTAAACGCCATCAATAACAGACAAGTATGGGTTGACGGCTTGTTCTCTGATACCAAGACCAATCCTGGCCAAAGACAACAGCCCATGCCCTGACTACACCGCCATATTAGAAGTACTAATATTATCTTTTTTATTAGGTGAAGCATTGTCAAGTATTCTTCATTTTTCACTAGGATTTCTTTCATCTTTATTTCCATTGCTTTATTTCCACTAGTAGTATTAGTAGTAGTAATATTATCTGAAATTTTGATATTTGTGTCTAGTCACTGGATCCAACCAACCCTTTTATCGACTGGACCATAGGTCCTTGAGGAGTGAGTGCAATATCAGGCTACAGCAGTGGTGAACCAAAAAACTTGGCGAGTTGAGTTAAAGGGAAATAACTGAGACATCCAGAAGAGGCATGGTACGTGGAACTAGAACAATCTATCCTGGTGGGCAAAATAAAGGGTTTAGTTCAAAATTCCAATCACCTGAAGAAGGCCAGAGTGTATAACGGCCAAAACGTTGTGAATATGGCAATGAAGAGGAGGATAACAGTCCAAATAATGTAAATAATCATAATACTTTTTCTCAGAAAGCTAGATTGTTTATTTACAAAATATTTTTATTTTATAACATTCTAGAAACTAACACATTTAAAACTAATGCAATATTCATCTTTTAGCAATTTATAAAGAAATAGATATGAAAACAATTTTTTATTCATAAATTTATAAACAGTTACAAAATTATTAAAATATATGAACTGACTCTAAGGAAATCCTCATTATTTACCATTTTATAAAGTTTGAATCAATTGTCAATTCGCTGATGTTTTGTGAATCATTCCAATAAACAATCTAATAAATAGTGTTTATTATTTTTGTTATCAATTCTTATGAAAAATTAAGGGATCAGTTTATATATTGATTGTAATATATTTCAATAATACTTTTATTTGAAAAATATTTCCATCGCTACACAAAAGCTTTCATGTTTCGGAATTGAAATTGTTCCAATTCTATCTATCATCTATCCAATTTTCAATTCCGAAACATGAAAGCTTTTGTGTAGCGATGGAAATATTTTTCAAATAAAAATATCATCAAAATTTATTTTTCTCTATGTTGTATTGAGCACTTTTTTTTAAAAAGTAAATGCTAAAGAACGGTAGATTTTTAATCTGTC